ATAATATCATTGCCAAATCGTATTAATGGACATTTTGGTAGAGAACACTTTAAACGACTAATTATATGACATTTATAAATATCGATTTAAACAATCAGTTTTGGTCTCCATTCTCAGCTTACTTATTACACTACGATCTTATTTTTAGCGTCGCGACGGTGCCTGCGATCGATCTCTGCGCGCCAACGAGAAGCTGTTTCGGACGTAATTATCGCGGCGGATCGCACGAGCAGCGGAACCAGTTGATGGCCACGAAATAGCGGCGCGTTAATGTGGTAACGACTCGTGGCGCGACGGTACGTGAAGTGCGGCAGCGGAGCGTCGGGACGGAACGCGCCGCAGTATTTCACGTCGCGGCGGCCGCCACGCCGCTCAAGACGTACCGCGCTTGGTAGGCATATTAACGATCGTCGAGGGCGACATGGGAAGCGCCGACACGTTCGGAGGAACCTCAGATGTCGTCGTCAAGGTGGGCTGAGATCTACGTCGGCCGATCCGGTTCTCTCCGTAAAATATCGCCGTCTGGCCAGGAAAATTCTCGACAACGGCGACGAGCGTCGTCGTCGCTTCCGTTCCCTTCGTCGCGCCCGACCCGGCACGCGAGGCGAAGTTCACGACGAGCACGCCACGCTTCGTGCCATTTACCGTATCCCTACGCGTTCGCGGGTCACGGAGGGAAACGCCTCTCTCTTTCTCCCGGGAGACCGGACGATCTTCACCGGCTTCCTCGTGTCGCACGCGCACCGCGGTCCTTCCGGTCCGTCACGTTCGCGGGAATACAATTTCGAGCGAGCTCCCGCTCCCCATGCGCCACCGGAATTCGTATGGCATGAAACTTGGAGCTCCTCGGCATATACGACGGGAGTGTCGCGGGACAATCCGCATACTCGTCGTCTAGAGTAGCTTTGTAACTCGAGCGTCGTAGGAGGAATCATTTCTCTGATTAGCTGAGATTGTTACCTCGCGACCGGGCGAGAGTTAATTTAGAACGAATTTTGTTTCCGCGGGGAAACTCGCCCGGATTTAATTATTCAAATGTTCAATAAGAAAACTCGAAAGATCACGATGAGGGCGGCGTGTAATATGGTTTCTTTCGCATGAGAGGATCGATTTGACAAAAATATTTCGACGTAGTATGAAAAATATTGCAATATTTTTACGATGTAGACTACTGTAATTGACAAAAGTTGTTTTCAAACGCGAAAGAATTTCGTCCGCGAAAAGTATGAATATCGCAGCATAGAGGCATTATTTAAGTCATTTTCAGACAGACTCGAATTCGATCGCTTGAATATTTCCAGATGAAAATAAATACACCGACGAAAAGTAATATCTCTCAAAATATTGTACAGGAAGCCAAAAAAATTGATTGCAACTTATCGCTGAGTGTAGTAAGTTCGTTTCGTGGGTCATAATTGAGTTATTGGACGACGTCGAGTGGTTTTATTCGCGACGCGGCGCGTTGTCGTCAGTATATATCGCGCTAGAAGAAAACGTCGTGATAAATTCACGAGTCGCCTAGTCTAGATACGGGCACCTGCAAAACGGCACTTGCGACACGTGTGCGCGCGCGATGAGTAGGTCGCGGCGATCGATGAGATCGTCGGAAAAGAGCGCATGTATGCGTTGCTCAGCTCGCGAAAGAGGAAGAGAGAGAGAGAGAGAGAGAGAGAGAGAGAGAGAGAGAGAGAGAGAGAGAGAGAGAGAGAGAGAGAGAGAGAGAGAGAGAGAGAGAGAGAGAGAGAGAGAGAGAGAGAGAGAGAGAGAGA